CCAAGTCTTATCTAAGCCTTGTCCTAACTATATGAAATCATTTGCCATGAGCCCTTAAATCACGCTTCAGGAGAAAAGTACTACTACACTACTTAAGCATACATTAAATGGGCCATACATCAAACTTTTGTTGTTTTGTATGTCCATAAATTTACACATGTTGAATGCGTGTGGCATTTTCCTTAATCCTTCAGAACTTGGACAAGGAGTCATCTACTAATAATTCAGGGGTCCCACTAAGATATAATGGAAGCCTATACCTTTAGGCTGTGTTTGGTTTGAAAGAAAAAGTAGGAAAAGGAAGGGAATTCATTTCTTTCAAACCAAACACAGCCTTAAGGTAAAATAAAATTCACTAAACAGGTCGGCTAATTAGCCCTTAAGGCATTATTTGATCAATAAAAAATGGATTCAAAGAAAGTAATGTACAATATTTTGTCCACAAGAAAACTCCGTCAATGTGATTTTATCTTATGCTGTCAGTCCTAAACCTAGACAAGGAGAGAGGGTTGCATCAGGTTGGTAGTTGGCACTACGGTTCAAAATTGTGATACGTATTGGGCTATATCGGTTGATATGCATTGTATTATGGGTTTCTCGATACGTTCCTACAGGGGGTGTTTTAGAGTCTAACCCGGTTCAAGGGGTAGATAGGCCTTAAACCGATTTCTCTGAACCAAGTGGAAAAAAGTTAAAAGAAAAGGGATGTGAGACTCAATATAGTCCAATATGCCCCTACCAGCATATCGGAATGTATCAATATTTTGAACCTTGATCGACAATAAAACATGTACCTAACTGTTGTGGTCTTCGATCCTCATTTGTCTTAAATGATGATTTTATCCACAAGAAAATGGTTAATATTGGGGGATTAAGTCTTTGCATTTAGTTCAAATGAGCTGATTATACAAAACTATTGTTTTTAATTACTTCTTAATTATTTGGCAAATTTAAATTAATAAATAGATTGTAAATTGATTTGATAAAATAGAGTGCAATCCAATCAGACAGCTACATGCTTTTTTTTTTTTAAATATCTCTCTACTTACTAGTTAATTACCACAACCAATAATTATTGGATGTGAAAAGAATAAATTCAGATTTTCTTTTGGGTGGATATAGTAGAATAAATTCAGACAGAATAGATGTGTTAGGATTCAGATTAAAATTAAATAATTCTCGCTTGTTTCTATGAAAGAAAATAATTGAAAACACAGTTAATTAAATTGCTCAAGCAAGTTTTGTGGACCAAGAATACCTTCTCTCTTTCTCTCTCCTTGTTATTTATTAATTTTATTTGTTTTTGTTGCATGAACTTGACATGGCCCATCAAAATCAATCTATGTGGTAAGAATTAACCTACATTGAAATTTTCACATAAGAACTTGACATTGAACATTATTGGGAGAATGACCAATCAGCCCAGATCAGGATTTTATAGCCCCAAAGTACAGGGGGAATGCATCCTGACCGTGAATTGATGTTAAATTCATGGGCAGGATGTGGTTTATAGGGGGAGAGGGCTAGTAGTAGGGGAGGGGCTGGAATTCAGAATTCTGCATCGGGTGTATTTGTACTTCTCCGAACATTATTAAGGTTCGTTTGATTCACAGTTGGAATTGGAACCAAAATGGTCCATTCCCATAGTATGCTTGACTCAGACAAGAATGGAAATGAAAATTGGAATGAGCAGAAATGGGATTTCATTCCCAACCCAAGGGAGGGGCAGGAAATGGCCATTCTCTTAAAATGGGAAATGTCATTCCAGCAAGAATGAGAATGAGATTCTGATTCCACCCAACCAAACAGTTGGAATCGGAATAACCCATTCCGATTCCGATTCTAAACCCCTATTCCCAAAAACCAAATGGCGACCTTATTCTATAAACCAAAAAGGAAAGAAAATGCTTTTTTTTTTCTCACTAGTCACTACTATCGTATACAATAAGAAGTTTTGTAATAAGAATTAATAAAAATAATAAATTCATTAAACCAAGAAGCCCATACACTAAGTTATAAAAATTATAGTAAATAAAAATGATGAAATTCATATAAATGAATATATTCAAATTTGAACAAATTGTTGTATTTTTCTTACACATGTGACATGACAAACTAGTTTGGAGCTCAAGAGTCTTGAGGATCCTCTTCTCATCCTCTATTTAGGAAAAAATTCAATCCAAAACACCATTATGTTCTATTCCACTTTTATTGGCAAGTTTTTACATCTAAAAATTTAAACTTTGAACATGTTATCACACAAAAATCAATAATACAAACGCAAAGTATATGATTGATGTGGACTGATCGAACATGACGTCAATCTAGCTGATCCCTTCGGTGAGGATGATTTATATTAACCAGGAGATCTCTATTAAGTTTAAGTTTGGAAGGAGTATAAATACATAAAAAATAATACAAAATGTAAGATTTTACATTTTGTATTATTTGTATTTGTATTCCATCCAAACTGAGCCTTGGAGTATAAATACAAATATATACAAAATAATATAAAATAAAAGGTTTTATGCTCTACATATTTGTATTTGTACTCCTTCCAAATAGAGAATAAGGTTCAAAGTATCACAAAGTATCAATGCAAATTATACAATATATATCATTTTCAAGGTCATTAATATGTTAAATCATGGTTTTCAAAACTGGACCAGACCAGTTGGTTGGACCGGAAAAACTGGGAATCGATCACATGACTGGTTCCGTTTTTTCCCAAAACCGTTGATTTTAGTCAGCAAACTGCTGAATTGGTCGATTAGCTGTTTGAACGGTTTTGACCATTTTTCAAATTTTTTTTTTATTTTTTTGTCAGAACGGGCTGACCGTTCGGGTCAAACGATCACACCATTCGAACCGGTAACCAGACCCCTGACGGATTCGGTCACCCCGGTCGATTTTAAAAACTATGTGTTAAATACTTTAAGTTGAGCGACTTTAATAAGTTAAAATATTAATAATGATGTATAAGTGAAGATTTGTAAATTGTTAGACAATAAGTTAAAATATTAATAATGTTGTACTGTTTTCATCCTCGAACATATTAAAATATTAATATGATTTATTAGGTAAGCAAATTCTCTACTTGGCCCTACTAGTGAAACTTGTTTCTTCCTTCATATATTATATTTTTGATTTAGTCATGAATGTTCAAAACCCTATTTGGTTGAATTGACTTGTAACCATCTGCCGAAGAAAAAGCAAAGTTGATTCATATCCAAGTCAGATTAATTCTCTAATGAACTTAGCTAGATCAGATTAAGCCAAACCCCAATTTAATATATTATCCACCTCGTCACCTAACCGGTTTCGTCTTTTACAACAATAACCAAGTCAACATGATTGCAACAATCCCACCTGTTGGCTCTTCCTCTGCTTTTTCAAGCTTCATCAGTACATGGTACTACTACTAGTTAGTACACCAAAATGTTATATAGAGGAATAGAAACGAGAACAAGTATTGCTTTGGATGTAGGTGGCCAAACGGTGCCCACATGGGCCTATTAGACACTTTCGTGGAACAAACCGGTGGGGTCGACCTAATCTCCTCCATCCATGACATGCCACGTGATCCCAGAGACTTAAAGTCTTTGGCTTGGAATCTTATAAAAAACAGTTTTATAATTGAGTTAAACATATTGCCAAATCTTGTAATCCATAGTTATGATCTATAATATTGGTTTAGCCAGTCATAGTAATGGTTCAACCCATAAAAATTGTTAGAAAGCTCACTTGGGTCCTTTTTTTTTTTTGAGGTTTTTATGGTTCAGTCCAAACTTAGGTGGAGAAAGGATTTTTTAGGGGTGGACAATCCTGTCAATGAATTGATGCCAAATTCAGGGCAGGATGTGGTTTATAGGGGGGCTATTAGTAGATTAGGAGGGGCTGCAAATCAAAATTCCGAGGTAGAGTGCTGGTTAAAAATCCCTTTTTTTTTTGGGGGGGGGGGGTCCTCCTAAAATGGGCTTTCCAAGAAGCACTTATTAAAAGCTGGTTAGAGAAACGCTTTTTCGGTCATCCATTTTTTTTTTAAAAACCTTTTTTCTCTTTATAAACCCTTTTTTTTGGTATTCTATAAACCCATTTCAGAAACGTAAAAACTATAGTGCCCGTTTGGGAGGGTTTTCACACATCAGCTTATGGCATTGCAAGAAGAGCCCCACATGGAAATTCTAGTAGTTCAAGCAGCTTAATCAAAGTTGATGCCCTTCCAAATGGGCTCATAAGCCTTTTTTTCCGGCTTTTGTGAAATGGGCTTTTACTGCTTTTTCGGATTCAATTAGCTAGCAGGTTCATGGTTTTTCTTACCAAACACACTTTTTTTGGGCTTCTTAAACTATGTTTGGTTTGAAGAAAAATGTAGAGAAAGTAAGGAAAACGTAAGGAAACCTTTACAAACCTTGTATTGGCTTCCTTATCTTTTCCTTCAAACCAAACATAGCCTTAATTTCCTAAACACAATAAGCCATAGAAGCACCTTTTAGAAAACCCCAAAACGCAGCCTAAAATTCGAAAGGGCTTGGGCCTCTGATGAGTCCAAGGGCCCAAACCGGACTTGTATCCCTAACCCAAACCGGTTCGACCGTCTGGTCTGCTCAGTTTTTTCCCGCCCATAATGGGACAACGAAGTCAAGATTGCATTATCAGATAAGAGGGCATTTTTGGACATCAAATAAGAGCGCTTTCAGGTGTCTTGTCTGCCATTAAGTGTTTTCTACCCTCCAACACGCCACTACCGAGAATAAAAGGGCTGGTAGATGAGATTATTCACAACGTGACGTTATAACCATCTACCGATCAAAAAACTCGGTCCTAGGCGTCTAGGTAGCCTCGTTATTTTGGATCACTACAAGGGTAATCCCGTAAAAGGGAATCAAGACTTTGAAGTCAAATTCAACAAAGAGTAAGGGTATTTTCGTGATTTGATCGTTTTTCTTGTTCGGACAAGCAACTATCTTACTCCGTCATAAGCTAAGGGCTAAGGGCTAAGGGCTAAGGCCGCAAGTAAACTTATATAAGGCGAGAAGCGACCACCAAACCTCCGAGCCAACGACCTTCAAAGCCTTTCCCTCTGTCCCTCTCTCTCACTCTGTATCTGGTTTTTCTTGCAAGGTGGAGTTAGGGTTTCTCGTCTTACTGCGTATCGTCTTTTGCTTAGTGTAGGAGCTTGTTCAGTAATGCAGTAGGAGCTTCTTTGAATAACAAAACAGGTCCCTGTGAAGCGAAATTGACATGGCTTTTCAGGCGAAGAAGCTCATTAATGATCCAAATGGTCTGCATTTGATCTTTGATATTTAATTACGTTGTTGGAGTTTCTAGATTTTCTGGTTATTTGATTTGTTTTTGGTGTTCATTTGCGTGTTGGAAACTTGGGAGTGGTTACTGCATTCTACCGACTTTATTTCTTGATGGTGCATGTTGTATCTTCTGGTGTGGTTGTGGGAATTTTTTTCTGTTGTTGAAGAATTTTTGATGCTTTGGCATTGATGGAGTTGGTTTTTTCTCTGTTACTCGTATTCTTGTGGCAGATGTTGTCACTGAGTACATTGAGGGTCTAGTTGAGACTTATCCCGGTTTGCAGTATCTAGATGGTTTCCCAGAGGTGACGAGATTTTACTTTCTATATTTATCTATTCTTAGAACTTAATTATATTCGTAAGGCATTTGATCTCTCTCTCTCTCTCTCAAATTAACTTTTCTGATTTAGTCTTAATCTCTTTCTTGTTGTGGCAGCGCAGATTAAGGTTGTCTTACGTGCTGATGTTTCAAGTTCTACATATGACAAGGTTGCAGTTATTTCAGGTCTGAAAGATTACCAAATTATTTCTGTCCAATTTCTTCCTAAAATTTAGACACAAGAAGATACAAATAGGAAATTATGTATGCTTCTGTAAACTATGTTAATTATTGTTATGATCGCAGTCAAGATAAGCATATTTTCCGGACAAAATTGTCAAACATGCTAGATGACCAGTAAACTAAAGAATGCATGTCATCATCATCTAAGCATTATCCTCACTATATGAGGTCAGCTACATGAATCCTATTTTTCCATTCTGTTCTGGCAGACCAGATGCATGTGATTGACATAAAATAAAAACAGTTAGACTGCCTACTTCTTGACTGTGTTTGGTCAATGTTTTGAAAATCATAACCGTATCGTAAATCATAGAGAAAGTTGAATCAAATCGAATTGTGAATTCTTTCTTAAATTGAAAGATTATTTCTATTTTTTTACAAACTTGTCAAAAAATTAAATATAGATATATTAAAAGGCTAACTATATATATAGGAAAGTGGCTTTACTCTATTTTTCTCATGAACAATGAGTGGGGCTAGTGGCAAGGACCATGTAGGTCGGAAGGGGGAAGCATGGCCCCTCTTGCCCTTGCCATTCTCATGAAGAATGGGTGTGGCGGAAACTTTTATTTGTTAACACACCTTAGAATTCCCTCGTATTTATCTGTTCCCTTATTTGCAAATGTACCTTATGCTTCTCTTTTTTAAACAACCAACAGGAATGCATTCCAACAAGATGGAAATGGTAATAAAGAAAAAAGAAAAAATATCCACTTCAAACGTGCCAAAATCATGAAAAAGCAATCCAAATATGACGGGATTCATTTTTTTTTCTTTTTTTTTTTATGGAGGCTAGAAAGGACCCAGAATACATTTATTTGATATAGGTTTATTAGAAAGAAAACCCTGCTGAATTTTATCCTAAATGCTTAACCATGGAACTGAATAGATGAAATGCACTTGTATCAGTAAACTATTAGTGCCAATGTTTTCTCATGTGGAAACAGATGCTATGCTACATTTTAAGTATAAATTTATTTTTGTGATAGAACAAGAATTAGAAGAAACTGATGTCTTTCTATTGAGAAAGTAGTACATATATATACAACCTTGTAGATACTAAAAAGGAAGAAAATCATACAGCCTTGTAGATACAAAAAAGGAAGAAAATCATACAGCCTTGCGGATACAAAAAAGGAAGAAAATCATACAGCCTTGTAGGTACTAAATAGGAAGAAAATCAAAGAAAGAATAATTCCTATAATCAAGCTATTCCTAATTGGGCTAATACTACATATTTACAACCTATAATTTCGTAAAACTCCCCCTCAAGATGGAGCATAGATGTCAATCATGCCCAGCTTGTTACAAATATAAGAAATCTGAGCTCC